TGTGTGTGTGAATCAAAATGTAAATATGCTAGAAGATAAGTTTAGAGAAACTTCTTTAAGAATCAAGAGTGAGAGAGATTGAGATTGAAGCCCAAACACTAAAGATATGATCTCCTCCTCTTGTGAAACTCTCTTCACATAAACATTTGTAAAACAAACTTAAAACACCCTTAAACACTTGTAAAGACTTATTTAAAACTTTTCTTAAGTAGGTTAAGAAGTTTGAGGGTAAGGGGTATATATAGATTCACAAAACAAATCCCACAAACCAAAGAAAAAGATAAAAACAACAAAATCTAGAAAATAGTCGCTACTATTCAACGACTCTATTGTAAGTCGACTTATGACAAGTATGAGTCAACTTATATAGTATAAATCGGCATGTTATATTATGAGTTAACTCAGCAGATTAAAAACACCTTTTGCGCAACACTTTATAAGTTGACTTGGTACTGTAGCAAGTCGACTTAAAACATGCACATGACCTGATATGAACAGTTAACATTAAATTTGAACATTCTTTAAAATATCAAATAAATTCTAAATATTATAAAACTTTGGAAAATGTATATAAACATAAAAATAAACATGTTACAAAAAGAATTTTTCAAATTGTATTTTCTAATTGTGAAAACTTGACATTTTTTAAAATAGTCTAATATACGAAAACTCAACACACTTGAAATTTTTCAAACAAACATGTATATTCATTTTGAATGGATTAATGGACTTAGGAAAAGATATAATATAGTGTAAACAAGTATTTAATCCATAAAAACATTATTTTTCAAAAATAAAATTCATAAATAGGTAACTAGTATATATGTATATGTATATAACTATTAGTTTCATATTTATACGATTTAAACTTTAAACCTGAAAGCTATAAAACAAAAACATGTATGTGTGTGATAATTGAGCTTTAAAGTATAACACACATGGTATAAGGCCAAAACTAGAAACAATATACCCAAGCTTGATGATCTTCGATAAAGCTCGACTTGGTTGTGGATGAAGCTTGATCTTGAATTTGACTTTAAATTGCAAATAGCTTCATTCCGATATTCCGCCAACCTCCATTGAATGTCATTATTAAGGCGCAATCCATCCATCCTCCAACATCAATGTTTGTCTAGAGTACCTAATAAACAAATACAAACACTAGACAAACGATGTTAGGGATTGTTTGTAAATCATCAAAACATGATTAGACCGTAGGCTCATAAATATGAGACCTAATAATCTCCCTCTTTTTGATGATTACAAAAAATCTACACAAAAAGATATATAATATGCATGATATCAAATGAATATACAAATTATGATCCTCATGAATAAACTAATAGGAAGCAATAAAAGAAATACTCACAATTGACTTGTTTCTCCCCCTTTGTCAACATCAAAATGAGGAAAATAATAAAAGATAAGAGAAAGTAAGATTCCCCTACAAATTAGCATAGGTGAATATAAAAACAAATATAGAGAAAAAGTTCCCCCTATCAAAATGCCACATAGAATATTTGAAATAAAACACGAAGGCATTCAT